CCATTACCCTTGATAGGGTTATTTTTCTGTTACCCTCCCTGTAGGTAACACAGGGACAGCCTCTGTCCCCTCTCCTGTCACCTTCCTTGCCTTGTCCACGGCAGGGTAAGAGAAGCCTAATGGCTTTCCGTCTGAACCCTCAGAGAGAGGAGGGAGAAGCTTTTTTTAATCTGGAAAGCTCACTCCTCTGTCTGTTAAGCACTTTGCTTGCCCCGCCCCTCAGGGGGCCTTTCCAGATGGCCCCGCCTGAGAGAACCCTGTTTTTCTAAGGCAGTTTGTTCTATTAGCACCCTTCACGTTTCTTCTTACTTTAGACTTTGAACTTGCCGTGCTCTTGATTAGCCTGTCAACTCTGGAGTGTGCGATCCCTTTTCTTTTTTTAAACCGCTTTATTGAGGTATGATTGACACATAAAAAGCTGGACTTACTGACTGTCTGCAACTCGATGAGTTTGAGCTGAGGACACACCTGTGACACCCGCATCACCATCAAGGCGTAAACGTGTCCATCACCTCCCAGACTTTCCTCCCTCTCTCATTATTGGTATTAATTGTGATTATTACTCAGCGATTCCCAGGAGATTCAGCCTGGGGCTCTTCCTGGGGCACAGATTCTGTGTGTAGAGCTGACGTGCTGGCGTTTTAGACCTGAATGTGATTGCCTTCCTTTCTGAAGCCAGATCCTCTCTGCCTCCATTCTGAGGGTGACTCATGTCCCTTTGGAGAAGCACTTGTTGATGCAAGCGTCCCTCCCTGACATTCCAGCAGAAAATCAACCCTTTGCTGGCCTGACTAAATTTATAGTGGGCTGGTCCTGGCAGCTGGTGGAAGCAGCTGGTGGTTAAAATCTTGGACAGATTTTTTTTTTTTTCCTCTGAAAAATATTTCAGTCACTCTAGTCTGAGCACCACTCCTGGTAGAATTTAGAAACCATTTATAGCCTCTTGCAGTTGGTCCAAGAAGAGCTGCTTTATAAGAATCCCTCCACTCACCCAGAAGTCAGCTCTGCCCCCTTTGTAGCCATCTGGAACATAGCTGGGTCACTAGGAAGTAAGACAGAAAGGCCTTCGAGCTGCTGGTACAGTGTGAATTTGACCATTTTTTAGGAATTTCATATGGTTCAAGCTAATATGTGTATATATACACATACACTTATATTTTAAAATTATTATAATGATGTTGTATGGTTTATAAACCTTTATCAGTGCTTTTTTTTTTTTTTAAAGATTTTATTTATTTATTTGAGAGAGAGAGAATGAGAGACAGAGAGCATGAGAGGGAGGAGGGTCAGAGGGAGAAGCA